AAGAGTGGTTAAGCTTGAACCGCTATTATATATATATTTTGCATAAATTAGAATAATAATTATCAACTTGAAAATTATTTATATTTAATATATATATATATATATATATATATATATTCTAAAATATAATTTATTTTAATTTCTATAATATATATATATATATAAATGAAAATAAGTTATATTTTGGAATATATATTTTATATTATAGTAATTAATATAAATTATATTTTAGAATATATATATATATATATATATATATATATATATAATTTTACATCAAAAGATTATTTCTTCTTATATACATGTAATTTTTAAGATTTTTATTATCCTCCTAATTTATTATTAATTTCTAAAAAAATTATAATATCAAATAAATCAAAAAATTAAAAAAAGTTTAATCATACAAATAAATTTAAATATAATATTTAACAATATATTTTAAAAATATTATTTTACTACTTTCAACCATAAATCTAAATATATTATTAATTTTAAAAATATACAAATCGTTTTAAATACCTAATTTAAAACTATAAATGTTAAATAAAATATTATAACATATTATATATATATATATATATATATATTTTTTTAGTTAGTTTTTTTTTAACGAAATAAAATAAAAACTATTCATAATTCGGTTGTCTAAAAATCGAATTCTAAATTATTTGAAAAAAATTATAATATACAATTACGTTTAGGTTTTGTATTACAAAAAATCGAATTCTTAACTTAACAAAAACGTGTTATGTACGTAAATAAAATTTAGAGTATGCTATCTGAGTAATTAAAATCCGAATACGTGTTATAAAATTAGAGTAGGAAGATCTAAATGTCCAATTTGCTAAGGAGAAATTTAAATTGTCATATAAATATAAACATATTTAGGTAGGATGTCTCTATTGTGGATAGTGTCCAAAGTCACAAATCTACTTAAATACAGTTGTTAGTTCACGAAAAATTAGGTTAATAAATAAAAATAATAAAAAACTTCTTTTTTTATTCACTCTATTACACCTTTTTCCCAATATTTATGTTTCGCATTGAAATTCTTTCTTATACTTGTTTAAGAGTATAAAATGCAGACATACGGACGGTGTCTAGATTAGAATAATGTTGCTGTCTTTTTCACGTGTTTGTTAAGAGTAACAGTGTTGGACGGAAAGAAAGAAACAGGAAACATGAACACTTTCAGGTCCATATAGAGTATTTAGTTCTATATATACTTAAAGTTTGAGAGTTGGAAAAGTAAGAAAGAAAACCCTGTGATCGTGATTAGTGATTATTAAGAGAAAAGAGATGGAGGAACACATAGACCCAAGCAGTGGCTTCTGCTCCTCCAACTCAATCTTCTACAGCAAGCGCAAGCCACTCCCACTCCCTCCCAACAACGCCTTGGATGTCACCACCTTTATCTCCTCCCGAGCCCACCGCGGAACCACCGCCTTCATCGACGCCGCCACCGGCCACCAACTCACCTACACCCAGCTATGGCGAGCGGTGGAGGGTGTGGCTGCCTCTCTCTCCGACATGGGGATCCGAAAGGGCAACGTCATCCTCGTCCTTTCTCCCAACTCCATCCACTTCCCGGTGGTGTGCCTGGCCGTCATGTCCCTTGGCGCCATCATCACCACCACCAACCCCCTCAACACCGCGCGCGAAATCGCCAAGCAGATCGCCGATTCCAAGCCTCTGCTCGCCTTCACCATCCCTCTCCTGCTCCCCAAACTCACTCAGGCAGCACCCTCTCTACCAATCGTTCTAATGGACACGACTACCCATTCACCCCTTCCCAACGCCAAGATTGTTACCACACTCCACGACATGGCCAAGAAGGAACCACGGAATCAGCGCGTAAGGGAGCGCGTGGACCAGGACGACACGGCCACTCTGCTCTACTCCTCCGGCACCACTGGACCCAGCAAGGGCGTGGTTTCCTCTCATCGGAACCTCATAGCCATGGTCCAAATCGTCCTGGGTCGCTTCCACATGGAAGAAAACGAAACCTTCATCTGCACGGTCCCCATGTTTCACATATACGGTCTCGTCGCCTTCGCCACCGGGCTCCTCGCCTCCGGCTCAACCATCGTCGTCCTCTCCAAGTTCGAGATGCACGACATGCTCTCCGCCATCCAGAGATTCCGCGCCACTTACCTCCCCCTGGTTCCGCCCATTCTGGTTGCCATGCTCAACAACGCAGACGCCATTAAGGGAAAGTACGATATCAGGTCGCTGCATTCGGTGCTCTCCGGTGGGGCTCCCTTGAGTAAGGAGGTGATAGAGGGGTTTGTGGACAAGTACCCCAACGTCACCATACTTCAGGGTTATGGTTTGACGGAATCCACCGGCGTTGGGGCCTCAACCGACTCCTTGGAGGAGAGTCGCAGGTACGGCACCGCCGGGCTCTTGTCGCCAGCCACCCAAGCCATGATCGTCGACCCGGACTCCGGCCAGTCGCTTTCAGCTAACCGCACCGGTGAGCTCTGGCTCAGGGGTCCCACCATCATGAAAGGTAGGTAATCAGTCAAGTATCCAACTTTTCTTTTCGTTCTACCTTTTCTTTTCAAGTGTTACTGGTGTTCATGCAAGTGGATTTCTTACATCACTGTCTGCTTTTTTTCTTCTGAGAATAATTTTTTTTCTTACATAAAACGTGTTGTTAATTCATTAGTGCGCTGTTGTTGATAACTGATAAGGACAAACACTCCTATGAAATACACATTATTTGACGGTCAAAATAGGCATTACATAATGCCAACGAAGAACTTCACGTGTTTGGTATTCAGGGTTTATTATCTATTCTATTCTATTTTATTCTATCTGTTGTCCCTACTCATTTAGATGGGTCAAGTGTGAACGTTTATATTTTAATCTAAAATCTCATCTCAAAAAAATATAATTATTCGAAGACTAGGATTTTATGAATTATTAAGATCACTACATATACATCCATTCATGTTCGCCCCAAGACAAGTTTCTTATTATTCATTTTTCTTCTTTTTCAACTATATATGATATGATTAGTAGATTGGTATAGGTTGATGTATAAATAAACCTTCTATGTGTGTCAATTAAGAGTTCACTAATTGAGCCTTAAATCTTTGTTACTATTTTGATACTGTTTAATGTTATCACGGGTTTAAATGTTTTATTTACTTCAAAGATCAGCTGAAACCCATAGCCGCCTGAGTTCAATCAGTTAAAAAATTATAAAACTGTCAGAAACATGAACATGTTTTGAGTTTCAGAAACGTTGTTTGTCTGTGGTTTAAACATGAGTTTTAAGGTTTAGGCAAATACGCATGTGAATGAAATTGTGATTTGATATATAATTAACATTGAAAAGGCAAAATGGCAGGTTATTTCAGTAACGAAGAAGCCACCACTTCAACCCTTGATTCAAAAGGATGGTTAAGAACCGGTGATGTTTGTTACATTGACAATGATGGATTCATATTTATTGTGGATAGATTAAAAGAGCTTATCAAATACAAGGGATACCAGGTAAATTAAATTACGAATTCTAGCCAAGCTAGTTAACCTAACCACCATCTTTGTTGAGTAACGGGACATGAGATGAGATTGTGTTGATGTTGTTTTAGGTTCCTCCAGCAGAACTAGAGGCCTTGTTACTGACTCATCCTGCTATTTTAGATGCTGCTGTTATCCCGTAAGTCTTTCAATTCCATCCATCTACCATGCATGCACACATATATATTTTCTAAAAACAACAGATAAATGAATGTAGTTGATAATGATCAGGTATCCAGATAAGGAGGCTGGGCAGATTCCAATGGCATACGTGGTGAGGAAGGATGGAAGTGGCTTATCAGAAAGCCAAGTTATGGATTTTGTTGGGGGACAGGTTAGTTGAAACACTTTTCAACAAACAGCAATGCTGCTTTGTTTTACTATTGTTATTGTATTATATTTGAATTGAATTTGTGATTGATGGAGTTATTCAACTTTAACGGCACAAGATTAGTGTTGAATTGAATATTCTGTGGGTTACATATTACAGGTGGCTCCCTACAAGCGGATTCGAAAAGTTGCGTTCATCTCCTCCGTACCTAAAAATCCATCTGGCAAAATTCTTCGCAAGGATCTCATCAAGCTCTCAACTTCTAAACTCTGAAGATGACTCTTTTCCTGATAATAAGTTCGCAACTGTTTGAATAATATATACGATAATATGTATCATTGTTATATTATTATTTTGAATCATTAATTGGTTGTATATTATACAAATCACGGAGTCACGATGATGTATTATCGGAAAATGGAAATAATATCTTATTTATCTGTCTGTGTGTTATTAAACTTGTACCAATATTTTAAATAGAATTCTTACTCTGAAAGTTTTATTTTCAGTTATTGAATATGAAATATTTTTACTTCATACCAAGAAAAGCGTTCACTGTTTCCCATAAATGTTGAAATATTTATCTTTTTCCAGCAAAGTGGCCAGAGATGGCGTTTAGTTACACTGATAAACCCGATGCAGCTACTGTTGCAAAAAGACTAAACTATCGCCAACTCTAAATAAGTTCATACTATGACTGTTTCGTTCACGTGCTATTAATCCCTAATCATTGTACTCATCATGGGCAAACAATAATTATTGCAGAGTTTTGGCAACTGCCCATTTGTTCTACTTTTCTTTTAACCCAATTCTTTCAAATCTGAAGCAGCTAGAGCACATTGTTTATGTACGCACCTTCGGAACTCCACACCCAGTCCCAGAAGTGAGTGTGACTTGGTGGTTTGTTTAGCTACATTTTATGGCACTGCTAACATGATGGATAACTTGGCCCACCACCTGTGCTGTGCCATTGCAGATTGATTATCATCATAAATCCAAAACTAGCCCACCTCCTATCTCATCCAATCAGCACATGGTTTTTCTTCCAAACTACCTTTTGCCAGCTCTATATATAGAAGCACACACATACTCATAATTATAACTATTCAATCTCAAGGGATAGGGTTCCAATTGCACTATGGTGAGCTTAAAAAGACTAATTGGCATGGCAAGGAAGTGGCAAATAATGGCGGGAATCAAAAGGAGAGAGATTTCTCCACCTACAGATAAAATGAGGCATAAGGTAGCAGATAAAGGTCACTTTGTGGTGTACACCATTGACAAGACACGTTTCGTGGTACCATTGACTTGTTTGAGGAACAACGTGTTCAGAGAGCTGTTGAGGATGTCTGAGGAACACTTTGGACTCCCAACTGATGGTCCAATAATCTTGCCCTGTGAGGCACCCTTCATGGAATATGTTTTGTCGTTGGAGCTTCACCACGCACTGCAAATAGTACCTTCCTTCGACTTTGGATTTGGATCTAATTGTCTCGCACATGTATCTGCACCTCATGCTCTCACTCTTGCCTAATTCTTACCACCATCACTGCTCCTTCGTAAATCTTACTTGTTCTAATCTACCAGTACTAGTTACTCTCACCTTTGTCCAAATCCATATCAGTAACTCATTCAATTTCGCACAATAATTAGTTGTCCAGTTTACATTTTTTAATAATGTTCAATTAAAGTTGATGAGGATTTTTTCATTTTGTTATGATCTCTCTCTTTCTTCATCATTTTGACAACCTTCTATCTCTCCCTTCAAAAAATTCTACCTGTGCTTATACTTCTAGAGAAATTTAAAAAAGACATGATATTTGACGCTGAAAATGAACTAGTAACGTGATTTACAGACTCTTTTTTGTCGTAACATTTCAACTGTGACATGGTGAATAGAGTTTCTCTGTTTTTTGAAGGTGTGGTCAGCTTAAATGATTTTGAAGTCATTGGATAACTTTTTGCAAGGGGCCAGACTAAGGTCCAACAGTACAACACTTAGACAAATTCTAATGAACAGAGGCCACCTGGGAGAAACAAAATTAATGAAAACGTGGAACTTGTCTAAGTGAACAGAAACATAAAATATGTGTAATCCCCTGGTGGAGTAGGCTCACTTCTTATTCTTCTTCTTTCTTTTGATTCAGAGGGAAGCACAAGAAGCTGATATGGGAATAAGTAGCAGATAGGGCCATTTGAATCGGACGGTCAACTAGGCATGAAAAATGTCAGTCTATTGTACGCTTCAGCTTGTTTCGTATAACGGTAATAGGATAATAGTATATAAATATCTCAATACTACAAAACACCGTTAAACAATCACTTTTATTAACACAATAATAATTTATTCATCATTATTTATTTTTATAATAATTTAATCATCTAAAATAATGATATATTTATAATTATTATATTAAAAATAATAAAAATAAAAAATAATTTTATAATTCTTATTTTTTAATAATTTATTAAAATATACATTAATATTTTTAATTATTTTAAATTAATCAAATTAATTATAATTTTTTATTTTTTTCTCATTTTTTATTATTTTTCTTCACATTTAAACCATCTTTATTTTCCACATTATCTTTTCTATTTTCACTTTTTTTTTCATTTATCTCTTATTCACTTTTTATCTAAACAAATCATTCTGATAATATATATATATATATATATATATATATATATATATATATATATATATATAAAAGGTTAACAAATTTAAAATTTATCATAAATTCAAAAATTATATCGCGACTAGGACTTTAATAATTTAATTTGACAGTATTTTAATTATTACTAAAATTAATGTTTATTGTAAAAAATAATTATTAGTAATAGTCATATAATAATAGTAATAATAATAATAGTAATAATAATAATAATAATAATAATAATAATAGAAGTTAATTATTACAAATAAATAACGTTATAAATAAATGAGGTAATAGCAATAAATTAACTTCCATTATTAATAATAACTATTAATAATAATTCTAATCATTATTATTATTTGTTATAAATATATAAGGTAATATAGATAAATTAATTTAATTAATAATAATTGATAATAATTACTATTATTTTAATATTTTTTATAAATATTAATTACTTCTTATTATTAATATTCTATAATCAAAATATTAAAAACTATCACTATTAATAATTTAAAATGATAATTACTATTATTTTAATTTCAATTATGACAGATGTTTTCCTTATTTATTTTTCTACTTTTCTCTCATTTGTTATTCTTTTCCCCCTGTCCCTGTTTGCCTTTTTCTCTCTTTTTTTTCTCCTATCACTCATATTATTCTTTAAATTAAAAATACTAAATTAAAATTTGATAAAATGAATTTTTTATTATTTCTAAAAAATAAAAAAATATAAATTATCCAAAAATAATATATCTAAAATATTTAATATATTATATTTTAAAAAATATTATATTATAAATTTGAGGTATTATAAATTGTTATATTATATTTATTAAAAAGTTTAAATATTTATTTTTAAAGTAAATTTTTAATAAATATTTTTTAACTAATCTTCATGACTTAATCTAATTATAATTAAATTATATTAATAAAAATACATTTAACTCATAAATATTTGATATTTTTTTAATTAGATAAGAAAATTTGATTTATTATATTAAAATATCAATTATTTACGTAAATTAAATTATTCATTGTCATAAAAAAATAAAATTATTTACTATTATCATAATTCTAAATAATTAGTTTATAGTTTTTTAAGTTTTAATATTGATTTTAAAAAAATTATATTAACACAATTTTATTAAATTTCAATATAATAAGATTTACTTAAGTAAATAAATTAATAGATATTCTAGAATCATTTTTCTTTTTGAACAATATTATTTATAAATTGATTGTATTTTATTACCAAATTATTAAAATTTATGGAGATAGACCATTGACACAAATTTCTATACATCATAAAATATTATATAGTAGGCATGATAAGAATCTATGTCCATTATCTTTTTATTTTAAAACTTAACCAGTAGTTATTAATATTATTAAGATAAATAATCAATCTAATTAATCTCTAATTATACTAATTAGATTAATAAGATATATTTTATGGAAAATTTTTAAATGTTTATGAGGTAAAATTTTATTAAAATATTATAAATAATTAATAATTTTAAAATATGTATAATTTATTATTATATATTTATTATATTATTCTAATTTTTTTACTTTATCTTTAAAGTATCTCCTGTCTAACTTGTTTCACTAAAATATTATAAAGGAAAGGTATTTATAAATCAAGAGGAAGATTCTATCGATTAGGGATGAGAACAACAAGTTTTATAAGGGTTATTTGACCTTATAATAATATTTAGCATCCAGGTGGTAGTAATGAGAAATATGATAAATAGTGAAAAATCATGGTTGAAATAGTAAAAAAAGAATCACATAATTGAAGCTAACACTTTTATCTAAACTAAGAAATGAGTTAGAAAGCTTTAAGAATTAGAGGCACCATCAACACCCATTCATCAACGAAATCATGAGAATTCCATTATCACCAACATGAAAAAATCATATTATTAAAAGATATAAGAGATTAATAGATCAAGATGAATATATCGACATGTACATAACTTAACTAGGAATGTACATCACAGAAGACATAATATTCTATTAAGTTTTTCCTACTTCCTTAAGGGAGAGACCTTGACTTGGTTCATAAGACTCCCACCAAAGACTTTTGATCGCTTCGAGATATTGATAACAAAGTTGGATACTTAGTTTGCTATAAGTCGCCCTCACCATCTCACTTCCATAGCCTGGTCAATATTCATTAAGATAAGGGGGAACCATTATGGGCCTTTATGGAAAGACATGGCAAGGTTGCTTTAAACCTTAAAAACCTAAACCTCAAGATTGTTCTCCATCGCATGGTAAAAAATAATAAAACCATATTTCTTAGACAACCATACAAAAAGCTAACTACTAACTTACTAGTTAAGATATTGCACAACAAAATTAATGCAATTAGATGAATTGAAAGAGTTTCACATTCAATTTTATTCTAAAGCAACCCCCAATAAGAAGAACTTTAAAAAAGAAAAAGGAAAAAGACTTCAATACTAGGTACCTACACTTACCAATGCTTCACAAGGCTTACCATACACTAGCATTGACAGTGTCATCATAATTACAAGCATACAACTAAGGAATGCATCGCCTTAAAAGATAAAATAAAAGAGTTAGTTTATGTAGGGGACCTGTTCAAATTCATCAAGAAGGATGATAACCAAGAAATGAGGTATCAACCAAAAAGGAGAAATATTGATGAGCATAACGTTAGTTGACAGGAATTTCTTCTAAGAAAAGAAAGAGGTTAAGCCCTTAAAAGAGTTATTATTTCGTCGAAAGGGACTTGATAAGCTCTGCCAAAAACAGTATATTTGATGTAAATATTGTCATTATCAACCAAAGAAGTATACCTATTATTACTTTACGAGCACAAACTTTCAATTTCTTGATCTACAATAGGACAATCTCATGGTAGGCATGGTCAATTTTCATCATTATGAAAACATTTATTGATCAAGATAATTCAATTGACATTCTTTACTTAAAAAACATTCAAACACCTAGAATTATCAAAGGATGCAATACAACTTTATGCTAACTGGATTGTAGGATTCTTAGGTGTGATAACATATATTCTGCACACACATTTATAACTTTATTATATAATGAATGCAATTTTTCATATGTTTTATTTTAACTTTTAAGCTCATTTATAGTTAGTAACAAGAAATTGGATTCAATATACACATTTTCTTTAATTTTTTTATTTTTAATTAATCTAACATTTACTCAATGCTTTTGCCATAATTTTTTCTACAAATATTATGTTTAGTTGATTCAAGTTGCATTGGATTCTATATTTCCAAGCTATCAAATTGATTTTGTGCTATTTTTTACTATTTTTAGAAGTTAAGATAAATTTGCTGAAATTTTGTAAAGAATCATGCGAATTTGATTTTCCTTTATATTAACTTATAATTAGGTTTATGAACTTAATTAGAGCTCACATTTAAGCCCATGTTTACTTCATATTTGAGAGTCTTTAAATAGACTAAAAGTGTTATAAAATAATATCCATGAATCATTTATTTAGTTTTTCAGTTTAGAAAGTGTCTCAATATCTTCTCTTTTCTCTCTTCTCTCTCATTCCTGTGACCCTTCATCTTATCCTCTAGTCCGAATTGTTTTCAAGTTTCTCATTCATGGAGAACTAAATTTTGAGGATTAATTCACAAAATCAAGATCAAACAAGCTGAATTGAGTTTTGTATCGATCCTTTTTCGCATCGAGTTTGTTCTTTGTTTCTTTAGTCTCGATTTTACATATTGTGATATCAATTTGTAATGTTGGTTTTAGAAATGAAATTAGAAATCAATTAAATCTTATTTTAATACTTAGCTACAAATTAGATTGAATGATTTTGAGATTTAATTCATATAATCGGTTTAATTGATTA